CAATGCCCCAAATTTGAGGAAATTAGAACTCGTTTTATACACAAGTTTTACTATTGCCCAGCGCTTGAATGGAAATTTATTTTGCTACTGCAATCTGAAAATACACATACAATACAAAATTTTGCAAAATACGTATTCTACTCTTTACAAAAACGTCATAGTTTGTTGGAGGGAAATTTAACTGAAATATAAATATAATTTGGTATTCATATGTGAAGTATAAATTTGTAATATTCAGACAAGCAGTAGCAGTGATTATTCTTGTCAAACGATCTATTTATTTGTGTTACATTTAAGTGTGTACATTATGGCCTATGGCCAATGGTACTGAATAAATATATATATATATATTGTGTCCATGCGTCACCAAGGTCTAGATGGTTTTTATTCCTGTTACCCAATTTTGTACGCCTGCATCATCTAGCTGTATGCCCAGCTGGTAAGCTTCATGAACTAATGTATTATGATCCATGTCGTTTAATCGTATCCAATATACTTGAGATGGCAAGTGGAAGCCTACCAAGCTCAAGCAAGCATGCTAAATGTGTTGCTTTGCTTGCTGAAATTAATATGTAATTTTTCCATGGGTGATTTGAGATTTGTCAAGAAGCTTCCTTTGTTAATAATTCAATCAGACCAAATTTCACTACAGTACAGCAGAATTGGTTTGATCATTGCATCAAACATCTTTAAGTGGATTTCTACTGGAATGTAGTTTTCAGAGAACAGCATTTGGTTCATTTTGAAGCATGCTTTCATGGCTCCATTTTTGGGGGTTTTTTTTTGTGCTTTATCAAGTTTGCCTGTTGTGTTTAATTTCATTCCCAAATATGTATAAGAGGATGTTATTTCCAGCTCTGTCCCATTAAGAATGAAGTCAGATTTGTGTGTAGTGAGCCACATCTGTTGTGAGGGTAGCAAGGGGGGATAGCTGGTACAGGTTACAGCAAATATAAAAGACATTTTACGTTTTTACAATTAAATAAAATGAAAGTTCCGAGTCCATTTATTGTACAAAATGGGTTTTTACACTTTACAGATAAAATAAATTCATAATTACATTTTACATTTTTTAAATATTTTTGATAATTTGTGTTTAAGGATCAAGAGTCAAACAATATCACACATTGAATAATCCTCCGGTCAACGCGTTCTGGTGTGGCAAATCTTCAGGGTTTGTGCGACGCGCATGCGCGAATCAGGCCAGGAATTAACGTCGAAGGTCAGCGTGCGATATTATTTCCGGTGTTATATACTTCACGGTGTTCTACAAAGAATAGTGTTTGCCGAGGACACTTGCACAACGCGATAATATTGCGTACATGTCATTGTAAGAGCCAGAATATTTGGGAATGTCGTGTTAAGTTCGAACGTAAATGGCACATTACTTTAGCAGCTAAGCACACACATTAAATATGCATATGATTATGACATGTATAGTCTGTACAGATACAGAAGATAAGGGGGGGGGGCTTTTGACAAATTATTAGGATAAGTATTATAATCAAATCAAGTTATAAAAATCTGATGCCAGATAAAACATCAGAAATATTCTATACAAGGCGAAACAACGACCATCATGTTATATTGTAAGGATTAGCTCTTAAGCTTACTTAAAATATACAATTGTATATTTTCATTGTTTATTGACAAAACAACCATTAATTATAACAAGTTTTGTATTCAAGTTTGCGACTTTTGAAGTGTTTTGATGTTCAGTCTGGGTGAGTCTCTCTCGGATTTTTTGTCAATATTGTATTTTTGTGAATGTGAATTTTGAATTCTCAGTTATTAGCAATTATTTTTTTCATGTTTGGTAAAAAAAATGATACGTGGTCATTCTTGAGATGTTTGTGCAAGCATCAATAGGAGCGAACTAGAAGTAAAAACGTGTTCACATTTTATTCTAGTAAAACAATAGTTGAATAACAAACAAAAATGCGACACGTATTATGTATACTAGTGCGCCCTCCGCGGTGCTCCAAGCCCAACAAAGTTATTGAGATTTGATGCCGTTCAGCCGGCGAAGGCGATACTCACGCCTACATATGAGGCTAGTATTAGGTACAACGTCAGGCAAAATACTGTCAATCCTTCAGAAAATAAAACATCTGGTATTTGCATGTTGAACTTCCACGTACACTCGCCAAGATACGCACACACAGAGGTGCCCGTGGTATTGCTAGGTTCTTGTATTTTGTTTATAAATGTACTATTTTTATTTACTGATAGTTTCTACAATAGGAGTTATTAGTAAACATGATATAAATGATTTAATATAAAAATATAGAACTGTAAGGATTTAATCAACAAGATATAGAACATGTGTGTATCTAAACTTCCGTGACCGAAACTTTCTACATTCGAGATATACTGTAAAATGACTAATTTTCACTGGGTTTTAAATTCACGGTTTTATAATTTAGATAATGTGTTCTATGCTAAATTTTACATATTCACTGGGTTTTAATTTAGCGCATTTTCCAGTCAGGGAAAATAGCGAAATTAAAACCCAGTGAATAATTCACCCCTTTACAGTACGACGTAACATCTTAGCCCTCTGCCGTCGATGCACCAACAGCAGAACATTTGTTTTTATTGAACAATGCACATTACTTAGTACGAGAATCCACTATACGGCGGACAAATCGGGAACTTCACTGAGCAACGACCTCATCCGGAAAATTTAGCAAACAGAACATTTTTCGCATTCCAATGAGCAATTACAATTTTGTACGAATTACGCCATTTGATTTGGAAAATGCTTTATACGCTTACAAAAAATAAAATCTATGTACGAATTACGGAATAGTAAAATAGCTGATTACGTTTTACACCGTGCCCACGTCTACGAAATTACGTTTTTTTTTTATTTAAATT